TYMWTTAATTTTGCTCACCACTCTAGTTGGGTGTTTTTAGAGATTAGAATGATATTTTTTTCTAAGTTTTGATAACTAGAGTTTAATTCTTTTTAGGATATATAGCTATTGTGATTAGAAACATCACTATTATTATAGACAAGGGTCACTAGTTCATCATATAAAGAAGAATTGTAATTAGAAGCTTTTAAGGGTTAGATTGGCCTTTACGTTATGCTTAGCGCCCTACTGTCCACTTGTATGGTGCATACTCAATTTTAACACTGCTACATAAYAATAATAATAATTTTTAGATAAAATTCAGCGATAAAACTTTACTAAAAAACATAATATTACACGACGTTTCGATGTTAACTGAACGTCATTATCAAGTGATAAAAAACTTGAACAAGACAAAAAACACAAGGAACAAAAACCACCAATTGTTAATCAACACTGCAATGTTTATCATCATAAATGTGATCTGTGCGATGCAGATTACATTGGCTACACGACGTGACATCTACACCTACGCATCGATGAACATAAACTAAAGACATCATCAATCGGTAAACATTCAAGAGAAAAACAATGGAACCTTTTCCTTAATAAGTCAAGAACATTTTAACATTTTAAAGAAATGCTCATCAAAATGGGACTGTTTAATTAATGAAATGTTATTTATTAACAAACTGAAACCCAGTTTAAATATTCAATGTGACTATTCGGGCTAAAGTATTTTATTAGTGTTTTTATTTCTTTTTTCTTTTTTTTCTTTTTTTCTTTTTTTTTATTCTCTCATTGTTCATCATTTTATTGTACAATATTTAAATTAAATAGTTTTTCATTTTCGCACCTTTTTATGCCAATTATTATTCATGTATATAAGTTAACGTTTTTTAGTTTTTTATGTACTGTTTAAAAAACGAGCAGGAAGGTTTTATCGGGTATAAAACACGAGGCCCAGCCGAGTGGTTTTAGACTCAATAAGACACAATCTGCGAGTTTATTAAATGGCTTAGAAAACTCATGATGTATGTTCTCATATGGTACAGAATTCTTTACCAAATGAACCAAGCTTGATAGAGAAAATCCAAGTTAAATGCAAATGAAGACAAATCTATATCAGATATAAAATCACCTTCATGGTCATGATTTCTATTGTGTTTTCTTCATGAATTATTAATGAGTTTTCTAACACTTGATAATGATGTTCAGTTAACATCAAAACGTCGTGTAATATAATAATTATGTTTTTTAGTAAAGTTTTATCGCTGAATTTTATCTAAAAATGTTACAAGAAACCACTTCTTATCAATAATAATAATAATGATAATAACAACAATAATAATAATAATAACAATAATAATGTGAATATAAAAGAATAATGATTTTAAAATGCTAAAAGAATAAATGCTAAATAAATTTCAAGTTTAAAATAAGCACAGATATATATCGGTCTTATATTTACATATACATATTAAAAGATAAAACTATAAAGCCTATTTTATAAAAAATTGGTTATGCGGGTGGTAGCTTAATCGAGCGAGAAGTCCACGTTCACCACGTTTGTAGTGTCAAGTGTTCTTCTAATAGATCATGATCCTCTCGGGCAGGGCAGAGCAGAACAAACGAGTGCAAATGACACTTTGGCTCTAACCCATGACATGGTGCTTGATAGCTCTTTCCCTTCTTAATCGATAAGGGCCCAACTAAGTGTTTGTGGTAAATCTTGCATTCTGTGCTCATTCCACCTGTTGTACTATATACTAATGGCGTAAATGTTCCTTGTTCCTGACCCTGTTGGCATATTGGCATTTCTTTTCACCCTCATGTTGAATGTACACTTGCTCAGGAGTCTGCTCACGGTATGAGTCTGCATTTGGGTGGCATACCTGGACAGCAAAGAATGCAGCTCTCTGTTGCTCCCAGAAACCTTGGGCATGGATGTTGGGACAAGAATCAGGGGCGCTATTCATTCCCCTGTTGAGAGTCTCTCTGGTTATCTGCTGAAGAACTGGCTCCACCTCAACGTCACTACATACATTGCTCAGCATTACAGCTTCAAGATCTCGTAGCTCGTTGTGGTGTTGTATCACAAAACCATCGTTCCTGCAAATCAAAGCATGGTTAACGTCAAAGATATCTCCGCACACACAAGTTTTTGGAGTTTTTTCACATAAGTCCGAGATTTCCCAATTATATCTTATCTTCATTGCGTCTAAATTCTCGCTTGTTTAGATCGTATCCCAACTCTTTTATGGGTATTACAGCTAGCCAGCTTAAAGGACCTTTTTCTGATGCCAGCTCTACGGCTCTCAGAGATCATGGGATTAGATTGTTCTTAACCATCTCTTGCATCACCTTTTGGAGCTAGTTTTTCTTAGCTCCTACCTGTAATCTTGCCGAGTGCATATCTGCCGCATTTGTAGTAATAACTTGGTGATGGTAGTAAGTAGGTGATGGTAGTAACTAGGTGATGGTAGTAACTAGGTGATGGTAGTAACTAGGTGATAGTAGTAACTTGGTGATGGTAGTTACTAGGTGATGATAGTAACTAAGGCGATAGTAGTAACTTGGTGATCTGTGATGGTGGGAATCAGGATTTCAGTTATCACACACTCAAGTGGTTGAAGTAGGTCAGTGAAAGTGGCATAGCACGCCTTAGGGTTGGGATGTGGCAAACTCTGCAAGGTTGCTAACTTGACGAACCCAGTCCTCCACCTTCTCTCCAATATATTCCTCTAGGAATGACCTGGATCCGATGACTGCTCCAAGGTGCTCGTAGCCTTCAGATGTAATGATGTTTGCAGTATCGGCAAACACCTTTCTTGCGGCATCTTCTTCCTCCGGCTTGGTTGTTAACCAACACTTCTTTGCATTCGAGAAGTATCCTAATGGTGGTCCTTTTTAGAAAGATCGACCCACCACTTTTTGACTTCATCTAGCGAGCCACTTCAGGTTGCGTCAGCAGCGAACCAGCACTGTTTGGTTACTCTTGTCAGTTGTAATCGGGTTATAAGCGGCTAAAAACTAATGGCATACAGGCTCATAGCAAGGGGATCACCCTGCATGGTGCCTTCTTTAGATCTAATTCTTGCCCACTGAGAACAAAGAGCTGCGCGGGCTGTGTGTAAGTATTGACTGCATATGTTGCTATGGTCAGGCACAGCACCCTGTGTGGTGTAGGGGTACTGATCTGTTCAGATCTATTAAAGGCATTAGAACAGCATCTGTATCGTCTTCAAAGATGAGGCGCTTTGCATGAATCGCAGCCTTGTTTCCACTTTTCAGCCCAGTGCATACTTGAAGAGAGCCACTTGCATCGATGACATCAGATTTGTTTACTCTGGTCACACACTTCCCGATAATCCTACAAAGGACTTTGCCAATTCTGATTGGTCAAACTGCGCCCTATCCTTTGTCGCGCGAAATCAATCTGTTAGATAGTAATGCTTCAATGCTGATGGGATCTATGTACTCAGTACATAATCTTCTTGCCATTAATGTCATCACTTGAAGGAAAAACCCCTCCACCATTTTTGTCACTGAGGTATCGTGGGGCGAAGTTTGAATGTTTAATGATTCTTAATTTTGGCTTTGTTGACTGTTTGAATTACAATTTTCATCAATGGTTTTGCTTGAAATAATATCATCTACAGTATTATTCGAGATAGTAGACTGGTCCACTACATCAGTGTTCAAACCATTCCCATGTACATTACTCGCTGAATTACTAGCATGGATTTCAATAATAATAATAATGATAATATTTATGTAAATATTCAAGAGTTAATAAGGATTAATAAGAAGATAAACTGAAGAGAAAGGAGGATTATAGTCCATAGGGCAGCCTTTGAGACTATGAATAGGGTCAACGACAGAAAGATGATTGCTTACTCTCCTTACTTACTATTATACCAGTAAGAGGGGTCATTCAAAGAGAATTGTGAGATAATCTTCCCTAAAGAAATCACATAAAATCGTGTCAGTAAAGGTATTTCTTTATTATTTTCTTTGTGCAAACAGAAATTATTGACATGATGTTGGTGCTTTATGGTGGTAAGAAGAAAGAAAAAGAAAAAGAAAGGATATTAGAAGATACAAGTGCTTGTTCATCTGCAGCTTCTAGTCCTTCTGTTACTTACAGCCCTCCAATCAAGAAAAGAGTGAGTTGGTTGAGACTGTTATCCTTGACAGCTTATGTCTTTCCATTTTTATCTGTGAATGGCAGTAATGGTTTTAAATCAGTAGAGGCACAAAAAATGTGCATTAAAAAAACATGTTTAGATTTTTTTTATGCTATCTGATGAAATTTTTATTGTTGGATGTTGCAGAAACCAATGCCGTCGTCAGAAACAAAACAAAATAATTCATCAGGTTTGTTTAACCAAAACTTTTGAGGCTTGTCCAAAATAGATGAACTGATACGGATGGTAAAAGCTGGTTTACCATCGGTACAGTTGGTGAAAGTAATTAACATGCAAAATGTGTGCATATCATTAACTTGTTTAATGTGTGTATACTAAATATTTACATGACGTGGTTATGAATGACGTCCTCATATGTAATCATTTAGAATATTAAATAAAAAAGGACTTAGAAAAAAAAAAAAATTAGAACCCTCCCATCACCAAATGCATTACTAATGGTATATTTGGGTTTTCATGGCAAGCCATGAATAAATAATCACCAAACGTACCAACTGTACCAATGGTAATACATTTGGTGAGGGGGCCCTGTCTTTGTGTCTCATTACATATGCACACTTTACCACAGGTAACCCAATGCTAAAGTGGCCTACGAAGACAGGGCCCCCTAACCAAATGTATTACCATTGGTACAGTTGGTACGTTTGGTGAAAAATAGAATTGGTTACCCTGTGGTAAAGTGTGCATACGTAATGAGACACAAAGAAAAGGCCCCCTAACCAAATGTATTACCATTGGTACAATTGGTATGTTTGGTGAAAAATAGAATTGGTTACCCTGTGGTAAAGTGTGCATACGTAATGAGAGACAAAGACAGGGCCCCCTCACCAAACGTATTACCTTTGGTACAGTTGGTACGTTTGGTGAAAAAATAGAATTGGTTACCCTGTGGTAAAGTGTGCATATATAATGAGACACAAAGACCGGGCCCCTTCACCAAATGTATTACCATTGGTACAGTTGGTACGTTTGGTGAAAAATAGAATTGGTCACCCTGTGGTAAAGTGTGCATACGTTATGAGACACAAAGACAGGGCCCCCTCACCAAATGTATTACCATTCAATTTGGTACAGTTGGTATGTTTGGTGAAAAATAGAATTGGTTACCCTGTGGTAAAGTGTGCATATGTTATTGGGAAACATTTTGAAAAATTTTCAGTGGATTAGATGGTCTTTTTTTTCTTGTTAGAATCAAAACAAGCTCCTCTCCCATCAGCATTGCCACCATCAATAACACAGCAATCAAGTCAGTCATCAACCCAATTACAAGTTGAAAACATTAGTCCAGCTCCTCCAACTACAACTAAAACTCCAGCCACAACATTAACTACTGAACCTTCCAGGCCCACACAGTCAGTAGACACATCTTTCAATAATTCTTCAAGCAGTTCAGTTCCCAAACTTCCAAATGTCACTCAAGCAAGTGTTGTCACTGTTACCCAATACACCAACTCTGGTGCGACATATGGAAGCACATTATCATCATCTGGTGTTCCCTTAGTAACTGTTGGTTCATACATGACAAACCTACATTATCCAGCAGCACAGGGTTTGCACATGGGAACAATATATACAGGTCAGGCTTATCCAACACAAGGACTTACCCAGCCAATACAGTACCAACAAAGTCAGCTACAACCACAGCCTACAGGTTTCTCTGCTCCTCCTCTTCAGCCAGGGGGTACTATGTATGGAATTCCCCCCAGGAGTCTAGGCAGCCTGCAGAATCCTCAAAACTTGGGAATGGGCCAGTCACCCATGAGAGCGCCTTTGCCACCCATGCCACCAAATATGCAACCTGTACAACACCCTCAAGGAAGGGCTGATTTTCCTTGGCCACAGCAGTTTGGAGCCCCACCTTCACAGAACCAAGGAATGAGAGGAGGATGGATGCCCAGATAACCTCATTGATAACATCTTGGTTTACAAGAAGATTAAACTTGAGTTTGGTTTTTGGCACTTGCTTGCAGTTGTAAAGGTATCTGCAACTATGACATACCTTCAAATAACAAGGACATTAAGTAGAAAAGAAAAAGTAGGAACATACTGTAATGCAATGGATAACTAATTTTCAACATAAATGCAAGGACATTTATTAAAAGGTTGAGGTCAAATGAATAAGTACTAAAGATGTAAGTACAAAAATTAGGTATTTAAAATCCCTTGTACAGTATGCTGTCAAAGTGAAGATTAAAAGAAAAGATCAAGCATTAAGAAGAAGAAACTGAAAGGTAAATCATTTGGACATAATAAAGTTTCTTATTGATCTGCATTGGACTACAAACTGTATGGTAAGTAGGGGACTATAACCAACAAACCCTACTCATTTTTGATGTGATTCCACACCACCCCAAATTAAGTTAAGAGCCAAGTGCAATCATAGTCCAATATTGTAATGGCCGCTATGTTGGGTTACATAACCAAAACATAATGAGAAATGTTTGCTTTCACATTAAAAACAGTCCTGATAAATATTTACAACTACTTTATTCTCACCTTTGAACATATAATTTATTTCATGTGAATGTAAAAGTTGTATTAGCAAAACTCTTGTATTGCCTTTTTTGTATCAAATTATCATAACTTTATGAGTATGTTTTAAAATGTTCTTTTTAGTTAAAAATAGATTCTTAAGTCTTATCTTTAATATTTGCATGACAAATTATTACTGGTATTTGCATGGATAATTTTTTAACTGAGTTGTAGAGGGCTGTCACTTAATCTATTAAACAGTACTAAATTAGTGCAATATCTATGAATTTCTATAGTTCTATTGCTTCACCAGTACTTACCTTTAGTACTTATTAGTGCTAGCTGTCTAGTACTTCCTGTTTCACAGATATAGTGTTTGCACATCTCTAATCGCAAAAAAAGGTTAACATTGCATAGTTTTTTTGAAAATGTTTAAAATTTGTTGCATTTGAAGAAGGGAGTACTGAATTTCGTGAACCAGTCCAAGCTCTTCATCCATTATGTCAAAAGAATTAAAAAAAAAAGAAATTGAAGTAGTAATCAAAGGGGGTTATTTAAAATCATACTATACAGTCATATACTAGTTTTTTTGGTGTTGGTGTTGGTGGCTGGTAGAGAACTTGTGCATGCATAAATATAACAACTCATTTGGCCAGTTAGAGCTCATAAATATAGGAAAAATCACAAAGCACTCATTTTACTAGTGGCAGCAAAACTATGAAATGATAATAACAGTTAACATAGTAGTCTATTGTAAAAAGAGCCATGCATGGTCAAGGTGTTATACGGTTAGGGGGCACAAGCTATATTCATGGTTTGTTTTATATGATTTACTTTGTACATGACTTAATTTCATATTTAATCACAAAAGGTCTTCCAAGATTTCATCTTCATCTTCTTTTTCTTCATGACCATTACTGACTTTTTTGGGTCCAGAATGATTATTCGATAATTTTCTCCAAACAATCTGAAGTTAAAACAGACATATTAATAACTGTAAATGAAAAAATAGGCAGTTATGAATAATATTTTAATAAATGCATGCAATGAATGAATGAAAAATAAATAGTTGAGAATAGTTGAATAATGAATAGTTGAATAATGAATAGATCATGGCTCAAATAAATGGATAGACAATGGCTTAATGAGGGAGAAGTAAATAAATGAGATAGTATAATGGGTGTATACAGCTAGTTCTTCAGAAAAATAATGCTATATTATGCATCCTAGACACATCCAATAAAATTGACAAATTTGACAACTTATTAAGTGCCCTGTTCAATTCTAGACACATTAATAAATACAAAAATGAAATTATGTAGTTTTTCTTCAATACTTTTGATGCTATTTCCTTGCAAAGTGGCAAGGCAGAGTGTTCATACTACATCAAAAAGGAATAATTCTAACACTTACATTGCACATTTCTTTTAAAACGGCTACTTCATTTTCACCTAAGTTTTCACCATCCTTTTGAGCAGGTTCTTTGGCGTTGTGATCCAGCTTTTCATGGATTTCTAAAACTTTCATTGCTTGTTCTATTTCCTCTGGAGTCATTTTTGTGTTATCAGGGAATGGTAATACACCCTACCAAATATAAATCATATATATTGAATAATTTATATTAGTATATATATATATATACATATGTTATTTTCCTGCCAGGAGGTCTGGATATGGAAAAATTGGTCTGAGGTCTTGAATATACAGCCCAAGGCAGATAATATACAAGGATAGATGTTGTATCAGCAGCAGAAATAGATAGAGAATCAAAAGTAAGTGAATATTAAAAATTACAGGCTTATAATGGAATAACCAAGAATATAAATGACCTCTCCTGTAGTCTACCCCTGTGGCTTAGATAGGTGAAATCCCATCCTAAGACTGTAAAGCACTTATTCTCTACAAATGTTTTTTAATAGATTTACGAAAATTATTAGCTTGTGCTGTTTTATAAAATGTACCTTTTTTGGCAGAGGTTTTAGTCCATTTCTTAAAATTCCTGGATGGGTGTTGTCTGTAAATTAAAATGTAAATATTACTAATAACCTATAATTAATATTTTAACCTTGAAATACACTGTATCAAAATACCAACTTGAATAAAGATTCTTAAGCCAGGACTGACTAGCCTCACATACATGTGAAAACTCTTTTATGTTTCTGCTTCAACCTGAGGCAAGTCAAAACCTTCTAGTCAGTCTAGAGCAACAGTTTATCAAATTAGTGACTTGCCATAATTTGTTAATTTGATTAGGTGTAAGTTTTACTTTTCAATATACCAGCTAAAATGTGTAGGGACAGCAGCTAAGTCCAAGAATTACCTACTTGACATATATTTAATACCAGTATATTAAGGGTACAGGGCTCATATACACAGGCACCCATGATTTGCCAATAAGGAATACAGTAAGCTGTGCCAAAAACAACAGGTCAGGGTTGGTAACAACCCTGCTTCCCCACCATCACTTCCTTTTGTTGAGGACATTCTCTTTTCCAGATCCTACTCATTAGCCAAATAGTAGGCTCTGTGAAACCTTATTGACCAGAAGCCAGAAAGATAGATCCAGCAGATAAATCCTTCTTGATGCTGTTATCCAATAAATTTATCCACTGGATAAGATTTATCTGTTGGATAGCGCTATCCAGGCTTTGCACAACTAGGCCCAGGTCATCAAAGGACACGCCCTATCTCAGGATCGCTGACGCCGCTCAACCTTTCCAACATACTTTTTACATTTTCTATTTGCAAAAGTTTATATGTTCAAATATGGAAATAGGATTTGATTAAAGATTCGAAGATATATGACCATTCTTATCGATTTGTCTTGCTTGGTTTCCGTTGGTATGTTAGTTTATCCTGTTGACCAATCAGAGTTCGTTGCTACATTATTTTTAACAGCCAATTAAATTCCATAGAATTTCAGTGTTCCAGAGCCTCCAATTTTTGGCTATGAGGAGTCTCTGGGTTTGAGAATGTTTTAAGGAGAATTTTTTTGGTAGACTGATTAAAAACCAAACATCTACCAAAGCAAAATATTTCATTTCTGACACAGCTAAATTTTTAGACTGGGTTGTATGTGGCTGAATTTGATCCCTGCACTTTCAAAATTGCTCTGCTTTGTCTACAGATAGATATTGTTAATAACATATTTAGTCCTTAGTCATTACCCTTATATCCATTTGTTTTTGCTGATCTTGAGAAACTATCTGCGCTATCAGTATCCTGCAAGGTTCCAAAGGCTATTATGAAAGATAATTTATTCAGACTATTTAAAGAGGATGTACACTTAATAGTGTAAATACACTAACAAACTTGTGGTCCTCTAAGTTATAATATAAATAGATACTATAAAAACACATAAATACGAATGCTAGTACTAATAAAACTGTAAAATAAAAAGCTAAAATATATATAAACATAAACACTTATAATAAATTAGAATAAACAATGGATTAACTATGAATTAAAATGTGATAATAATAATTTCTTAAATACATTATTCTTAAAACTCTTAAAGTGCTTGTAAGCACAATATTTACACAATATTTTCAGAATTGATTCTTTAGATAGTGAAGATATAGAAATATAGATAAGTTATAGTGCTTGGGAATGAGGTTATTCCGGGCGAAAGCCCTTGGAATTAAATTCGGAAAAATTAATTTCCGATCTTGCTGGGAATCGAACCCACGACCTTCGGAATTGTACTACCGATGCTCTACCAGCTGAGCTAGAGGTCAGACTGAGAGCAGGCCGGGGTGAAATAGATGTTAGGTAGCGGTAATTATGATGCAAAGATGAAAATATGTGGACCGCATGGCACTAATGAAATACATGAAGATATAGAAATATAGATAAGTTATAGTGCTTGGGAACGAGGTTATTCCGGGCGAAAGCCCTTGGAATTAAATTCGGAAAAATTAAACTTCAAAAAATTAAATTTCTTTAGATAGTGGATAGGTGATTGTGAAAATATTTCGTCACTTGAATGTCGGGTCTTTAAGATACCAAAGTTTATATTCCCAATATGTTGCAGGGCTGTAACCAGGGGGGAGCACAGGGTGCACGTGCACCCCCCCATAAAAGCTTAAGGTCCGCTCATCCATTTTTTTTTCTTTTTCTTCTGCTTTCTTTTGGTTACCTTTTCTTTTCTTTTTGGTTCTGCAAATTATTGCCTGTGCACCTCCCTGCAAGATCCCTAGTTATGCCACTGAGTAGGTAATAAACGATCATTGGTCGATATTATTCAATGTGCACCCTTTCTGTAAAAGTTCTGGTTACGGCCCTGGGTTAATGACTATGAGATAACATAAGGGATCATTATTTAATATACAACACTGCACTTGTTCTGGAATACAGTATCTTAAAGGCATCACCCTTTTACTCGTGACTCACATAAAGGTTCTTATAAATTTGTTTTCAAAAAATGTCCAGCATTCAAAAGCATTAAAAGTTGCCACAAAACTACTCAAATCCCTTACGTTACGTCATAGTCATTAACATATTGGAAATATAAACCTTCGTATCTCAAAGACCCAACATTCAAATGATAAATTATTTTCACAATCAACTATTCACTTTTTTAAAGAATCAATTCTGAAAATATCTTGTGTAAAGACTTATAAGCACTTTAATTGTAGCTTTCTTTTTTAAATCTGGTGCAATTCATTCCATTAATTAATTGCAGAGACTATAAACAATGTGTAATGTCTTGACATTAATGAATTTAAAAGTAACTTACTGTATCAATCTCCTCTGGAAAAGTGAATGAAACTCTCTTTTTCTGTCCTCTGCCATACATGTATGTTGTATCTTGTGGCTAATACATAATGAAAAAAAAGTAAGTTGATATCAGAGGGTTTTATAAAAACTATGAAAAATGAGTGAAAGACTGAGAAAAAACTCTTGAAATGATCAAATAAAGATTTTAAAAATATATTTACATGGGAGAGAAGATGTCTAAATTATAACTTTGGTAGAGTTATGTTGTCATAATCACTGTAGAGTTATAAGCATTTTGAAATGTACCAAAAACTTAGCTGGTAGGCCCTTGGTTGTTGTTCCCATACAAATCTTTCTGATTTCAAATTTTTAAACGTTAATACATGTGAGCTAATAGCATGCTCACCATGATACATGAAGATATTTTATTGTTTTTCATTGGGGGAGGGTTTGGGTTTCATAGTGTAGGGTCATCAGTAAAAATTTAAACTTTTTTGGAGGGCCAAACCTTTTTATTTTGACAAAAGGTAGTTCCTGGTTGACCTTGTTTTCTGATGACCCTCTTCTATGAAGCTCCAGACCTTTCCCCAACAAAATACATAACTAAGTACGTTCACTTTAAGAAGGCATTTTTTATCTTTCAGAAAACTACCCAAATAAGCATTATGTGCATGCATTAATTTATGATCTAAATCAAACACAAAGGTACAGTAGGAGAACAGCATTTCAAATATATCTTGTACAGATTTAAAATGCCAATTCATGCATGCAGTTCTGATCTGCATTCTGTCAATATGACTTTTGATTCCATGTTCAAGGTTTGAGTCAGAAAACAAGTGGTTCAAAATCACAAGTTTAAATACCATTGCTATGTCTGGTCGAGGGTCAAAGATTGGGGGTCCTATGTCTGAGTTTGAACAACTCTTCCTTGGATACTGTGATATTCTCTTAATTGTTTGAACAAAGGATTCATGTAACAACAGAAAAATGGCAAAGAAATGTCATTTTGAGTTGAAATGAAAAAGAAATGTCTCTCATAGAAGCTGTCAAGGCCAGAAGGGTGTAGTGTTAGATATGAAAGATTAGCACAAACTAATACAAGACTAGATATAAGTATGATGACTGTATAATCGTTCCCTGTAGAGCTGGCAAGGTATTTCACATCTCGGTGATATTATCTTAAGACATTCAGCAAGGAATATTCGATGACCTTATAATCTTATAAGACCTTGATCCCGCCGTTTTTCACAGCGTTTGTAATGTTAAAACATGTAAAATTTTGGTTCACGCTAAAAGAGGGGCTAGAGGGCTATTCTTAGGCTAAAGACCATATACAAAGGGCAAAGGAAAACACTCCATGTAGGGGTTAAATAATCAACCCTGTCTTAAGATATAGGACTATTCAAACAAAAGGATATGTTTGATAATAACCATAAAACAAAAGTGTCTACTACTCGCTTGTTATCGCTTACATCACACTACGATGGTCCTTTTTTATCGCGGTATAAAGAGGAAAACACTCATCTCAAGATGTCACAAGACACTAGAGGTTATCTCCTACACATTAAACTTCAACATGAAGTAAAAAATTAAAACCAGAAATATCGGTTGGACGCATCTTTTTATTGCTCCATTGTTAGAAAGCAATTAAAGATTGTACTGCCAAAAACGCGTAAAATGAATAGCTTTGCGAAGGGCCCACAAAACCACGACGTCTTAGTGATTATGATTCTCCTGAAAAATTGGGAAACAGACAATGGAAATCTGACATAAAGACAATTTTAGATTTGCAGATGCATTAAAAGCTTGTTTTCCCGCCTTCATCAAAAAACACGCGTACTTGATTCTATAGCATTTCTGAAATCCTAATGAACAAAGACAAAATATTGAACTCACTTGAGGTAAGGAGTTTCTTCTTTCTGTACCTATAGTGCTCAATCTTGCTTCAAGTTTTTCGGAGTATCCAACACCTTTTTCTACAAAGAGAGATAAATATTGGGTTCAAAGGAGTATGAATTGCCATTAATCAAAGGAATAGATCTCGTTAATTATTTTAATGTAACGGGGGAAACGTATTCCAAGATACAAGGCTTTGGTTGATTGTATTGTGTATATTAAAATTTCAGACATAAAATTGCAACAATTTTGTTATGTCTTAAAGGGCGGAAAAAATACATAGGTAAATGTAAATGAAATAGAAACTAGGACTAGAAATGTGAAGAAATTTAGTGTTTGCCGCAATATGAGAAAAACGATGCATAGCTATTACAAATTTCTGTGTCGTCTCATACAGTATGAGTCATTAACATATCCATTGATATTCTGACAGTTTAGTGGGTTCTATTTCACTGGTTCCTTTTGAGTGCGGTTTAAATTGCAATTCAAGATCCCACAAACCCTGTGAAATACCTTTTAAAATATCTCTGGAGCCTCTCCCAATTGAAGAACTTGTTGTCTCCGTTGCCATAGATTGAAGGCACTTAACACAAATTCTATTCCGAGTTAAATTTTCTCGTTGCTGATCGAGATATAAGCATAATTCTTTGAGTTCGTTGTTATCCGACGATAGTTCGTTTCGTCGAATTTCCAAGGCATGCAATTTATCTTGATAGTCCGATACTTCATTTCTCATAGCTGTAGCCGTATATCGACCAAACCTCTGCCATTCTCGGGCAAGTTTTCGACATTTATGTCTATCATCGTCCAAATAACAACACAAATCTCGCAGTTCTTGCATATCCGCTTGCAGTTTGTGGTTTACTTCCTTTAATAAACGGATTTCTTCGAGATGAACGTGCATTCTCCGATTAAATTCTTTGATTAAATTGCCATGATCTTTGATGATATTTATTTTTTCCTCCTCTGCTTGACGCAGTTTCTGCAATACTTGTTCATGTTCCTCCATTGATACGGTAGCTTTCTCATCTGTGTCACTCCGTGACGCGTTTACGTTCTTAACACTCATTTTCCCTGTTCCAAAAACCTTAAATTTGGTTCATAAAAAGATAAACATAGTCTAGGACAACGTGATACATTTTGGTGTCGAAACTATTATGTAAAACATCTGTTTTTTAAATGTAAACCGAAGGTACGCACCATTTTACGCCAAGAGTTCACACGATAAATCGATATATGTGCGGCAAAATAGAACATGATGTTCGTCATCCAATGACAAAACGAGTCGGTCTCTCAACCAATATATCAACCAATCACCGTGCGACAAAGACACTAGCGAAATGATTATGACAAGTTGAGTAAATAAACTACCTTTCTGTTTGGGTGACTGGATATTTGGCATTTTTACTTGTGGAAATATTCCACTAACAATAAGAAATAAAGATTTGACTCAAACATGAAATCAGAGAGTATTTTAAATTATCTCTTGGTATATCTATATCAGAAAAACACGTCATTCTATTAATTTACATTTATTACAGGTTACTGCAGGAGTGGGACTGTTTTTTAAACCAACTTATTTCTTACTGGTGGGGGTAAAATCCTTAAAACGGGCTAAATTCAAAAAAATAACCACACAGAGCGAAAGAAGTGCTATTTCTCGATGATCGGGTAAAATTTCGAGGCTTTATTTCACGTTTCAATGATTTTATTGAAATTTTTGAAGAATCCCCATACATTTCCTTATAGCATGACACCCACTGAAACCAGCCTGGGCTACCTGTGGTCCAGTTCGTTGCATTTTCAAATCTCAGATTACGGGCTCCCTGGGTGTATCTTGTCTTGGAGCCTGGTGTAGTTACGTAAGGATCTAGTGTCATGGCGGTCTAAAATTACGAGAAACTTTTACAGCGAATTTGAATTTCTTTTCGATATTCAAGGGTTAGATTATGTTGCGAAGCACCAAATACAGGATTTTTGCTTTTCATTTTTCAAGATATGTTGTCGTTCGCCAAACAAGAAGACTTCTTCAATATAGATCAAGCACATCTTTGTCAAGAAAAAGCGTCTTTACCTCGTGCATCTTTCCTTGTTCATATCATTTCAGTACCCGCCGCTTTATTGAAACTCCGAAACACTGCTCTCAGTTTTGTACACATTTGAAATCACCAGTTTCTTTTTCAAGGCCTGTGGCTGCAGCATGCACAAATCTATACACTGATCACAACAGATCTTTTCATTCGTCTTGTATCATATATTCAAAATCTTTGGATCATTCGGATGGAAGCTCTGATAAAAACGTTAAAAAATCTGGATCGACAAGGAATCCTTCCAAGCAAGGCTCTAGAGGCTCGCAATCTTCGAGGAACACTCAGAAGGTAAGGTAAGGGGGTCTTTCTTGGTGTTGCAAGGCACCTGAAGCATGAAGACAATAAAACAATACTCAAGGATAATGAATTTGGAGATAAACAATGCCCTGCAAAACAAAAACCCTAACCCAGAATACAATTGACGATTCTTCAAACTTCAGTTATGTAGGCTTAGCCTTGAATCCAGGAGTTCCTTGTTTTGTTGTTATAATTTCTGCTTTTGTTTACATACACTTGAGTTTTAAGAGTAGTCAATAAAGCTTGCTACACCAAGAAAGACCCATGTAAGGTGATATATTTGATCTATGGGATGGTTGAGATGCGAAAATGAATGAAATYGAATCAATTGTTTGCTTGACTCACTATATTGCTTCTGATTGGCTTCACTGAGAGCATTCAGCCAATTTCTGATATCATGTGAACTCAAATGGTAAATGCATTGTCTTAAGGTTTTCCCGCAGACAAGCCATTTATCATGTTAAATTTTTTCAAGGTCACAATGGAGATTGAAATTACGTTTGCTGATTTTTCGAAAACATAATGTAATCTTTATCCTTTACAAATTGTATAATAGGACAATATTATTGAATTCGGTTTTTGCATGATATCATAAATTATCAAGTTTTCAGCTGTTTTATCTTGCTTGGCCTTTGGCTTTGGTAGATAACACAGCCTTGGTCTTGATTTACTTACAATATCATGCCCAACCTCATGCAATAATTTTTTTCCCCGTCTGGTTCATATAAGGAACGACCAGCTGTTATATGTTATCTAAAGAAGAAATAGAAAGCAAGTGCACATGCCATGTGCAAACATAAAGCAGGGGGTTAGCAGAACACAAGAGAAGTGTTAGGAGAAGCATGACACATAGTGTAGTTATTCTCAACACTTTAGTGTTTTGCCAATCCCCAAGTGCTTTATAACTCAATACAGCACAGCAAGCAAGTTTTATTTCATTTTATAAAATAGAATACAAATTATGATAAACATTAATTCAGATAGGAATGACACAACTGAAAGGGCAGGTATGTACTGTGCGATCTCATAAAGCAAGCTTCCAACCAATTAAATTAAAATAATTTCAATGTCTTATCTATAAGGGATTTAAATTATTTCTTTTGGTCTTTGACCAGCTTGGTTCCAGTTCCAAGGAAAGAGCAGTACCAACATCAAGAGTTAGCAGAATATTAAACTTTAGTGGTGAGAATATTGAAATTAATTATTATTAATCATAATTTTGATAATGACATTATAGTTGACCAACACTTGAATGTTAGTTAATAATGGTGCCTACTATAGGCCCTTTGCAGCTAAGCAATCATGTGCTGATTAATTCACTGAGAGCAAATGAATGAACATTTTGATTCCCATGGGTGAAATTTACTGGACTGCAAACAAACTTTCTACAACCTGTTTCGAGAGATCATAATAAAACTGCATTTCATAACACACTGGATACACATGTTTTCATTCAGTTCTTTACAAGTAGCTAAAAAGAATACCCAATTTAATATAAAAACAAAAATTTTGCAGTCCAGTACAGACACGTGACCCTTAACTGCAAAGGGCCTATTGTCAGCGCCCACACTTACTGCGCATCTACATTGAGGGTTTCCCACGGGTTTCAAAAAGCAAAACACTCGAAGGCATAGAAGACATCGGCTTGGGAAAAGAACACTAGAACATCAGCAATAACTATTTTTCATATGTAGTCAAAGATGGATCACAAGTAATCTTCAAGAATTCAGGTGTTTTGGGCGAAAAATCATGTTCTTACTTTCTAGAGAAAGCAGTTTCCATTGCCTACCAATTCTTGCTTTGCTTGAATAAAAACCTCCTTAGGAGACTTTGGGCAAGTTTAGAGATTATTGAACAAAAACTCTGCAATAATTCATTTACCTCTGTTCCAATTAGAGTGACCATACAGGTCACATGGACTTTCATAGCCTGAAATGCCCAGTCAGCTCTAAAAGGTTCCCTTGTTGAACAAAGTATGCCACTTTCAAAACAGGTGCACAAGTTGATTAGATTTTAAACCAACTGAAGGTGTTTTTATTAATAATTTATATATTTTTAATTTTTAATCTTCACTGATATATTATAATATCAGGGCTTATTGCAAGTGTTGGTATGGGAGCTCTGAATGAAGTCACCAAAAGACAGCTTGGTCTTGAAAACAAAGGTAAAAAAGAAGATGGATGCCCAAGGGAAACTTCATATCCTCATGGAAACTTCATATCTTTGATATTTCCAAAGGTTGAAAAGGTTTAATCACCTTAACTAAGACCAAGGGGTATTTTGGGTAGTTGATATCCTTGGGATTTGGAGTGTGTCTGTGTCAGACACATGCATAAAAAGTGACAAAATGTTTTGTGGGGCAACTCGAATCAATGTTCTTCAGAGCTGCAATATGCATAATATTGGCTCCATTAACTGTTTATCCAGATCACCCTTCGGTCTTAGCTTTGATGATTCAACAAGGTGTTTTCAGTTTGTTGTATACAGTCTAGTATACTAGGCTAATATACATTTTACCAAATTAAAGAAAATATAAAAAAACAAGAAAGGAATAAACATGTTTAAGATTACTATCATATATGTCCTTACTTTAATATGTCCAAGTGTCATAAGCCCTAAATACTTTTTGACTCATGTTTTCTTCTTTAATCCATAAAGGAGATACATTGTCACAGCGAACTGGAAGTGCATTTTTAACTGAGGCTAACCTGGAGAAAATTGTTAGCACATTATGCCGCATGAGAGGTGCTGCATTAAAATTAGGACAAATGTTGAGTATACAAGGTGAGTAGGTTACTTCAGTCATCAGATTGTCTATTCATCTGTCTATATTCTCATCTGTATCTATCTCTCTATCTGTCAGTCTATTCCTATTATTCATCTATCTGTCCTGCCTTATTTCATTTATCCTTTTATCTATCCCATGTCATTTCATTATATCCATCTATCTATCCCGTCTCATTTCATTTATCCATCTATCTAACCCATCTCATTTCATTTATCCATCTATCTATCCTGTCTCATTTCATTTATCCATCTATCTATCCCATCTCATTTCATTTATCCATCTATCTATCCTGTCTCATTTCATTTATCCATCTATCTATCCCATCTCATTTCATTTATCCATCTATCTGTCCTGTCTCATTTCATTTATCCATCTATCTGTCCTGTCTCATTTCAGTCAAGATATGTAACTAGAGTCTCTGTGTTATGCTAGTAAAGAGAAACCTCGGGTGTTCTCCAAGTGGCTTTGTTTGTAGATAGACTTGTTGTATTTGCTTACCTTTTTACTCAGGATTAATCTTAAACACTTCACCCAAAGTACTTAAGTACTTAAGATCTTAACAATATTTCATTGATCCATCTAATGTCCTATCTCATTTTATTGAACCATCTATCTATCCTGTCTTATTTCATTTGTCCATTGATCTAGTATATGTCATTTTCTTTATCAAAGTTCAAATTAATAATGAAAACACTCTGTAATAGACATGTACTTTTTTATTGGTTCAATATCTAGACAATACATTTGTTCCTCCTGAACTACAGAGAATATTTGAAAGAGTTCGTAATAGTGCTGACTTTATGCCAAAATGGCAGTTAGAGGTAAGTTGAACAGCTCAAATGCACAATTATCTTTGTTTGTTTTCTCTACCCCTCTCATGGTTGGATAAATTTATTGAGGGTTATATTATATTATTTCACTCATTATGACTAATATGGGTATATGGCTGCTAACTATCTTTTGTTTAAAGTTTGTTTGTAAAAATAAGCATCCATTATTATATAGTATTTGGTTGTAAAATAATGTAATAAAGCAAATATTTGAACTTTCCCTTTCCTCTTATTCTTAGAAAGTGATGAAGAATGAATTTGGTAATGACTGGAAGAGCAAGCTTGCAGAATTTGATGAAAAGCCTTTTGCTGCAGCCTCTATTGGCCAAGTCCACAGAGGCGTGCTGCACGATGGTAGACAAGTTGCAATTAAAATTCAGGTATAAATATTTGAACAATTCAAAAATAATACATTTCATTTTTCTAAGTTCAACATATCTCTGAACCTCAATATTAGTATATGTTATAGGAAAATTATTGTTTGACTATTTACCAACACCTAACAATTACAAAACTTCAATTAACATCCTTTTAGTCACTGGTCATGATCATGTGCCAGCCGAATTAACTCATTTCTTACTCAGTGTTAATGGTCAAGTTACCAGACAAGCTTCAATTCTGGCCAGACATTTTCTGATGACTGTCAATAATAATTATTATAAGCCCTGCCATTTCATGTTTTGCTTTTTGTACTTGTGTGATGTGTTATCCCATTCATTATTACACACAAGTTATAATTTTCTCCAGGGCTCTTGGGTTTTGCAATAAAATTCCATATCTGTGAATTTGAATCTTGAAAGATTAGTAGTTATGTGAAAAAGATAAAGTTTTCTATACCCAAACTGTATTCATACTAAATTCGTTCACACACTATAAAAAGGATTCAATCATTTCATTTGTCTTTCAGTACCCTGGTGTAGCCCAAAGCATCGATAGTGATATTGATAATCTAATGACAGTTCTCAAAATGACAAAACTAGCCCCTGAAGAACTTTATGCTGAAAGTGCAATAGCAGTAGCTCGAAGGGAACTGGCTTGGGAGGTTGACTACATTAGAGAAGCTAACAACAGCAAACGATTTAGGTAACTTTTAGTAAATAACTTTAATACTTATGATAAGTTGCATTATTATCAAAGTAAAGAAAAAAAAGGATTTAACAGTAAGTTGCATTTTCAGAGAGTGGCTCTTCATCCACTGAAATTCCAATTGGAGTTTAATAAAAATAAAAATAAAATAAATGGGATTTAACAGTGGCATTTCTACAGAGTATAGCTATTCATCCACTGTCATTCCATTTGGAATTTAGGAGTTAATTTTTGCGGAGGGAGGAAAGCCGGGAAACCCCAAAAACCCTTGAAGCACAGGAGAGAACCAACAAACAACTCTAAATTTAGAAGTTGATTTTTGCTTAGTGATTAGTAGTGATTAGTAGTGGAAGTAGTGATTCTGATGAGTAGAAAAATGTAGTGGATCGATTTTCAATATTATTACCTCTCAAATGTTCTGCTAGTGCTTCATTGCTTGCTGCACAAAGCCAAAAATAATGTTCTCTGCTAATTTCTATTGTTTCCTTGGTTTTTTAGAAAGCTGTTAGAAAATGATTCCAAGTTCTATGTTCCAGAAGTTATTGATGAACTCTCATCAAAACAGGTGCTAACAACAGAGTTGATTGAGGGTAAACCTTTAGACAAGATTGCTGACCTTGGCCAGGATGTTGTTAATGAGGTATGAAAAAGTTGTTTTTATTGGTTGTGGAAGTGCCCATGATAAGTGGACAAAAACCATTGAACTGAAATTGAATGAACTCAACAAATCTCTGTAGTTAAGTGTTTGGTGTCCCAAACATTTCTTCCCCTTCCTCTCCTCAACCATGTATTATTTATTGGAGGATTTGGCGGGCGGTTGTTGGATGATAGAATTGCAAAAAATGCATTCTTGTTTTACAACCCCCACTATTATAATGAATACATGTAAAACCAATTCTTGGGGCCCCTGCTCACTTCCAACATTTCAAAGTCTCTCTTATTTATAAATCATCAATTGTTTCAAGACCTCTTTTTGAATGTCACAAATCCCCATGGATTCTTAACCACCAAATGCCTCTGTTAAATAGTGATTGATCCCTTGTATTATTTATGCTGACCATTTTATTTTGCATATTTTCTTACATGGCAAATAAATGGAATGGATTCTTTATTTATTATCAGGTTTGCTGTAGGATATTGCATTTGTGTCTAAAGGAACTATTTGTCTATCATTTTATGCAAACTGACCCAAATTGGTCTAACTTTTTCTATAATCCAGAAACAAAAAAAGTAAGTTCAATACTTCAGTTTTACAGCTAATTGATGTCACACATGTCCAGTAACTCCTAGAAGTCATATGTAGCATTCAGGACTTCATGTTTAAATTTCAAATTTCCAATCAACTACTTCAGTAGCTGAGTATTAGCTTGAAAATCTTTATCTTCTAAGTTCAAAATTCATTTGATTTGCCAGAGTTTTGATCTTAGTTGGTGCCTAGACTTGAAATTTAGACAAAGCCGCTGAAAGTCCAAACCAAACATGAGATACTGGTCATGCATGACTTGAATTACCTGTAAATTTAACAAATTTCAAATGGTTTAGTGTGGTATGTCTTCTTATTTACCACAATACGATGTCAACCGTAACTTTCAAAATAATATGTAGTCACGAGGCATAGCTGAGTCGGTACACAACTAATTTTGACCAACTGTTGATGTCATATCGTAGTAAGAAAAACGGATGTGTGAGCTGGATCTTTGCACTCGCAATTCATCTTTTGTTGACATAATTTGTTGCTATGTCCTCTTATTTACCACGGCTCTTGACCTATCAGAAAGCAAGAAAATTGACATTTGTGGTAAAAAGACTAATTGATGGAAAAGAAAAACAAGATTCTATACATATGCACATATACTCATCAGGTTTCTAGGTGGTGTACAAATAAGGGAACCTTTTTTTTTCTCACATAATTTTGGACTTCATATAAGGCATGTATTTGTATGTATATCTACAGCTGTATGTATTATTATAATAGGGACAGTGGTGCATAGTTTTGAAGAGTGGGGCTAATGTGAAGATAGGGGGGTTAGAATTCCCCACCTCCTGAAAATTTTAAAATCAAGGTTCTCGGAAATGTGATTTTCAATGCTATGGTTTAAAGCAGAAATTGTAACATATTTATCACATTTAAGTTATGTCAAAGCTTTAGGCAACTAAAATGTTGTGGTTATGTAATTCTTCTATAATTAATGTATTGAATTTTATCAACCTTCAGATATATTTACTAGACTTTGGTGCCTGCCGTGAGTATTCCAAGAAATTTGTGGACAAATATATCAAGGTAAATACTTAATAATGGTCAAGAAACTGGTATTACAGCTTTTGGGTTTGATCATGATGCAATTCACTTGTCAGAAAACATCTTTAACCCTTTGACTCCTGGGGAAATAGCGCGCGGACTGCCCCCTGTCCCTGGACATTTTTCAAGAATGCATAACAAAAAATAACGCGTAAAATAAACCCTATGCGCAGTAAATACAGACAAAAGATATAGCTTCCAAATAAAGTTTATTCAAAAATGAGGTGAACAGAGGACC